CATAGTTACAGGAGAGATTGAGGAAGTAACATTATCGTCAAACACCTCAGAATTTAATGTACATACTACGGTCAATGCAGTGCTACAAGCAGTAATAAAATCCTCTCATTTCTATAGAACCGTCAAGGGGATTAACTTATGATACTTATCTCATTTATATATATAAGTATTGTTGAAGAGTACCTTAAATAAAGAGACACACTAAAGACTATGGACCTTTAACATATATAAAGTACTCCTTTTTCACTGATGTTTAAAACCTTGAAGAAGAAGCGTATTCTTAATCAACAATAACGTGATAAAGTGACGTTGCTCTCTTACACTGGTGAAGATGTTAACAAGCTGACTTTTAACTAACTGACACTACCATAATCATATCAAATTGAATATAAACATTCAGTGGAATAACTTATATACTAAATAAGTGACTATTTCTTTCACATATATTATCTTAAGTTGAACTGAAGTATTTTTATAGAGTAAGAAGGAACTCGTGAACTTTATATACAGAAGGATACTTGTTATTAAACAGAACATTTATCGTAATATTACCATCTTATACACTTACTCTTAATAATTACCATATGCTACCATTTTCATTGTTAAGGTTTCTAGTTAAATAAAATGTGTTAAATGTTTATCGCCTCCGTTGTCAAGCTTCCATTATAAAACAAGTGTATCAAAGCCTCAAGCCAGGTTCAGACGAATCCCTTTGTAACAGTGGCTGGGCGGCCACGTTGCAGCTATCTTCGTATTTACAGCTACCGCTACCTTCGTTTAGTACAGCTACCTTCGTTTAGTAAACCTAGCTTCGTTCATTACAGCCAGCTTCGTTTGTTACAGCTAGCTTCGTTTAATACAGCTAGTTTCGTTTATTACAGCTAGCATCGTTTGTTACAGCAAGTTTTATTTAGTACAGCTGGCTTTAAATGACATTTAGTACGCATGTAAAAAAACTGATTGTAATTATAACAGTTTATGAGTAATGTGCATTTGGTTCCCGATTATATAATGCTACGCTTATGATAATGCTTTAGAAATATCGACAAAAGGTATGTTCTGTACATGTGACAAATGTGTCAACCTCACTTTAGTTTTTGTCGAAACATACTTCTTTTTTTTTTTTACCTATATGTGATGAATGTGCAAACACCCAGTTACACCGTTGTGGCAAATGTGATCAGTACCAAAACATTATCTTAATTTTACCAAAATGTTATTGAAAGATATAAAACAAACATATAAGACAAGTACTCACCATCAATTAATACATACACTTGATGGTGATTTAATGACTCTAATTTACATAGAGTTTGTTATTTCTTAAACATTATAATTTTATCTATTTCAACACTGCACAAGGAACATTTTTCACGTTTTAATATATAGTTACTGAAAATAACTATGTCTGATTGGATAATAAGAAATGATAAATATTATCAAACATTTTTTTTTTATTCTTTTTTTTTTTCAGAAAAGATATACATGTCAAATATGCAAAGATATGCATTTCACAACCAAGGGTAAATGCAAAGCACATATCATTGAACAGTAAAGTGAACTATAAATGTGTAAAATGTGCCAAGCTGTTCATTAGAAATACTCCATCTAATTTCTGTCATACAAGTAGAAATGACTTTACCAGATTCCATACTGTTACGGGGCAGAGAGGCAAAGAGGCAGAAGAAGTCTTACGGGAATTCATTAAAAACATTGATCAAATGATTATTGATAATACAAACAGATATTATGCACCAACACAAAGACATAACACATTGCCTAGATTACCATACTCGGGTAAAAGAAGTTCACAAGATATAAATGTATACCAAAAACAAGCCTCACCACATCTAGACACATCTAGATCATCCAGTAGTAGCAGCAACAGCAGAAGTAGCAGCAACAGCAGTAGTAGCAGCAACAGCATTAGTAACAGCAACAACAGCAGTAGCTGTAGTAATGACATTGAAATTGACAAACTAGAGGAAAGTGTAGTGGAGGTAAATATTATGAGTGACAATAGACAACAGGAACGAGAATTTTTAAGAAGGAGGTTAGCAGAGGAAAAGAAAAAGATAGAAGCTAAAGAAAAGAAGAAGAAAGGAAAGAAAGCTTGAGAATCGAGTCTGGTGTAAGAGAAACAGAGAAAAGAATATATATTGAATTAAAGAAGCAAGAGGAGGAAGATAGACAGAAGAAAGAGGAAGATAGACAGAAGAAAATTGAGGAAGATAGAAAGAAGAAAGAGAAGGAAGATAGAAAGAAGAAAGAGGAGGAAAATAGACAGAAGAAAGAGCTCGAGGAGGAGATAGACAGAAGAAAATCGAGGAAGATAGACAGAAGAAAATTAAGGAAGATAGACAGAAAAAAATGGAGGAAAATAGACAGCAGAAAATGGAGGAAGATAGAAAGAAGAAAGAGAAGGAAGAAGAAAGAGAAGGAAGATAGACAGAAGAAAATGGAGGAAGATAGAAAGAAGAAAGAAATTGAAGATAGAAAGAAGAAAGAGGAGGAAGATAGACAGAAGAAAATGGAGGAAGATAGAAAGAAGAAAGAAATGGAAGATAGAAAGAAGAAAGAGGAGGAAGATAGACAGAAGAAAATGGAGGAAGATAGACAGAAGAAAGAGAAGGAAGATAGACAGAAGAAAGAGGAAGAAGATAGACAGAAGGAAGATGAAGAGAATAGAAAGAAGAAAGAGGATAGAAAGGAAGAAGGAAATAGAAAGAAAGAGGAAGATAGAAAAATAGATGAAGAAAATATACAGAAGAAAGTAGAAGATAGAAAGAATAAAAATGAGAAAAATAGAAAGGAGGAAGAAAATAGAGAAAAAGATGAAGAGAATCGAAATGAAGATGATAGAAGGAGGAAAATGATAGGAAATATAAAAAAGAGAATAAACATAGTGGAGGAAAATATAAAAAGGAGTATGAGGAGAAAAATATAAAAAGGAAAGACGATGTCAGCAAAAATAAACTTAAAGAAAGAATTAGACAAATTAAAAAGGACAATGAAAATAAAATTATCTTGAACATAGGAGGTAAACAATTTTATACATGTAGAAATACATTAAGAAGCACGCATGGACTTTTGAATTGTCTTGCCGATAAGAAAGATTCTGAATTTTTCATAGATAGGGACTATAACATAACTTATTAAAAAAATATTGTACATGCTGTAATCGTTTAAATTTACAAAGCTATTTTATATGAAGACATGGAAGATATTTTATTAAAGCTGTTGAGTGCAAAATTTGAAAGTTTCAGTATATGTAAATTTTTATGCTTAATATAATATATATATTATTCTATGTGAGATGAACTTTCATACATGTATATACTTGTTCATTGACATCAAAATAATACGTTCATCATCCATGTTCTTTTGATTGATTGTTGTTGTTGATGTTTTTATATCCGCATATCAAAATACATATACATCCTTGTCCGATGCTGAATTTTTAATCATTTACCACTGCAAGATACTCTAAAAACAAAAACATGAAATGTATGAGTCATGATTGTAATAAGGTCATTTCTTTATTGGTTTTAGATTGTCAGATTAACTGTATTGATTATATATATATTTGGAATTATTGTTGATTATATATGTATTTGGAAATATTGTTACATAAAATGTACTAAGTTTGACTTATGATAAAAAGTAAATATTCTTCAGCATTGTATCAATAACTTAATTTATTATTAAATAATGTTAATGCATGTTTAAATTTCTGTTAATTATTTTAATTCTGGTTATGCACTATTGATTACACTGAAATATTCATATATGTTTTGTTTTCGGCTAGACACAAACAATTGTAATTATATTGTTATATGTAATAAAGATTAACTTACTTACAATCCAAATTGGAGACCAATTCTTTAGTGAGGGGGTAATGCTATGCCCGATGTTGTGTCTATCCGAATTTACATGTACCTTTCACTGTTTCATGAGCGTCTGGTGATCCAGATCGACCGCTTCGTAATTATTTCATTTTAAGCATAAATATAATACTAATTGTCACAGTATAATTATCAAATCAAATCAAATCAAATCAAAATTTATTTAGTGTCGGTATACATATATAACATTTTACAAAACATAAGCTATGTATAGCTTATGCATGTTTTGACCGACATACATGCATAATGATAAAACATAAAACTCATAAAAGAAGCACATTAAGATAAACTTTGAAAGACAAATGGTAAAAGACAAGTTAAATTACTATAATATGGGATGTAGACACTAAATGTTATAATTTAAAATAAAATAATATAAATTAATAAATAGTAATGATATGCTAAGGATATGCTTAAAAGTTCTATACTGTATCATAAGTGAATAAAATAATATATATCTAGATAAAATGCGGAACATATTAGCACATACATAAAATAAGATTACATTAAAAGTGGGTGGATACTGCTGATCTTGACCCAGGCCTAGCCTGGACTGCTATAAAAGAAAGGAAATACGATATTGAAAATGAAAAGGATCACAAAACTGTTACCACTAATTAGGTTTTATAAATAAAAATCCCCTATTCAAAATTTGCAAGAAGTGATCAGCAGCCTCCTCAATAAGCAAACTTCGCAAAAAGCTGGCAATAAGCAAACAAAAATTCAAGCATACTGGAAAAATAATACATGTACATAATCATTTATGTTGAGAATATTAACAAAATTTAAGCCAAATGTGAAATAAACAGATACATGTAAGTAAGCAGCAAAACAAAGGAAAGCAGGCAAGAAACAAAACTGAAGATGGAGCTAAACTATAATGCAGGTTTATTGACAGAAAGTACATGAGCAACTCTCTCCATTCCATGCACCAATTAAACTTTTAAATTGGTCATAATTCACTTCCATTCTGAGGTGTTGAGGAAGTGAATTCCATAGTTTAGGTGCATAGGAACGAAAAGAGTTGCTGCCATAACTGGTGGTTCTTACCTGAGGGATAATGGCTACATTTTTATACCTAAAATTAAAAGAATGAGATTTTATATTAACAAGATCATGTTAGTATGTTGGTCCTTGTTTATGAATAAAAATTTTATGAATTTCGAGGGCTATAGTTCTGATTCGTCTTAATTTTAAATTTGGTAGTTTAGATTTTATTAAAAGTGAGTAATAGTCTGATTGATAGTCATCATAAATGAATCTTAATGCTCTTTCTTGAATTTTCTCTAGTTTTTTGTGTACTTTTCTCCACAGAAGTGCCAGGTGACAGGGCAGTAATTAAAGTTTGATAGTATAAAAGAGTAATATATGTTCAATTTCCCCAATTTACATAAATTTTTACCTATTCTCTTTAGCACGTTTAGTTGTTTTGAGGCTTTTTTACAGATATCAGAAATATGATTATCAAATTTGAGTTTAAAATCAAAAGTTACCCCTAGAAGTTTAACAGATTCATCACATTGGATTGTACTATCATTTAAATTGAAACTAATATTTTGATCCCTAGTTTTTTACCAATAGCAATAGCCTGGAATTTGTCGGGGTTTGCTTTCATATGATTGTCCGAAAACCATTGTATTAATGACTGACTATCTGACTCTAAAGATTCAACAACATTGTCAATGTTTGTGTCACTGCATGATAAAGTGTTGTCATCTGCATAATTATAAAGATCACATTTGTGTACATAATCAAAAATGTCATTTAAAAATATGTTAAATAATACAGGGCCTAGAATAGAACCTTGAGGAACCCCTTTATAAATATCTTTGAAAGAACTTAAATTAGATCCAAGTTTGACGCATTGTTTCCTATTTGTTAAATAATAAGTTAATAAATCTAGGGCATGGTCGGAGACCCCATAACATCTAAGTTTCATGAGAAGGAGGTCATGGGGTAGGCAGTCAAAGGCTTTTGACAAATCCATTAAAATATTTGTTTTCATCCAGTGATCTTTTCCAGTCTTCAGTATTTTTAAGTAGAGTGCTTTGACAGCCGTAACCTGGTCTAAAAGCAGATAAGTAAGTATTAAAATGGTCATTGAAAAAGTCAGTTAGTTGGGTATTAATAGACCTTTCGAAGATTTTAGATAAAATTGGAAGGATACTAACAGGTCTGTAATTACCTTTATCTAGAGTACTATTTTTCTTATGGACCGGAACTACCTGAGCTATTTTGAGACTATCAGGAAAGATGGATGACTGGAAACTCAGATTAACCATATTAGTAATATGTTCCACGACCGAAGGTTTAGAAAATTTTAAAAGTTTAGCAGATATGACATCTTGACCGGTTGCTTTTTTAGATGATAATTTATCAATCTGTTTACTAATGAAGGAGTTATTTACAGGTTGAAAATTGAGTTGTTTATCAGATTTAAGATTATTTCTTATAGAATTAAGGCTAGGGTGATTGTTGTTGATTGGTATTGAGTCTGCACCAATGTCCTTAGCAACATGTACATAAAATTCATTAAAAATATCACACACCTGGGACTGATCACTTACTAGAATATCATTTTCACATAAAATCATGTCCTTTTTTACAATAGTACCTTTATTTGTTAAAAATGGTTTAACAGTAGGCCAAAATGATTTATTTTTACATCCACCTACACATCTCTCTAAAAAATATTTATTTATTGATTTTCTTTTAATGCTTGTGACAAGATTTCTTTGTTTACGGTATTTTTCCCAGTTCTTTGATGTTTTGTATTTATTATATGTATTTTGTAACATGCTGTTAAATAGCTTGTTTTAAGGTTTTATTCATATATGGTACTGTCTGGTCCATTGAACGTTTACGTTTTAAAGGGGCGTGTTTGTCTGTGACTTCCATAAAAGTTTTGCTAAAATTTGTGTATGCCTCGTTTACATTTACAGTGTTCTGGTTTAAGTTTGATAAATTAGTCTGTAAATCCTCATTAAATATTTCAATGTCAAATTTTTTAAAAGATCTATAATTAATCCAGTTTGGTTTTTTACTTTTAGTTTCATCTTTTAGCTGAAATGCAATCAGATTGTGTACATCACTCAGTCCACAATTAAAATTACATATTTTCCCAAAAGAAGAATTGCTATTAGTTAAAATCACATCCAGCAGTGATGGTATACCATTTTTAGTAAAGCAGGTAGCCTTCTTAATTAGACTAGATAAGTTAAAAACATCAATAATATCGTTTAAAGGAGCACATTTGGTTGGATCAAGTAAATCAAAATTTAAATCACCAAGTAAGACATATTCATCATACTAAAACTACATTTATCTAGAGTTGTCATGCAGTTTTGTTCGAAAGTTTCATTTGACATAGATGGAGGTTTATATGCACCCATTAAAAGCCATTTCTTTTTATTTAAGATTACCTCTATGAATATAGATTCTATATCTGTAAATTCGAGATTTGATTTTCTATCTCCAGCTATATCTGACCTTAAGTACACCGCAATCCCACCACCTTTGTCATTTCTGTCTGCACGCCATAAGTGATATCCGTTAACCTGCCATTGTGCATCCGGGAAAGAACCATCTAGTTTTGTTTCTGCAATAAATAGAATATCAACAATATTTTTAATAAGAATTTCTTTTAAAAAGTCGAATTTGTTCCTTAAGCTATTAATATTTATATATGCACATGTGAATTTATTTGGACTTTCTTTTTTAATATTTATAAGTTCATCAAAAATAGCTGGAATGTCATCGTCTTCACAATCCGATTGAATTGAAGAGTCTATGCTGATGTTCGGTTCGAAATATGAGTCACTAAAATGAAACGTGTTACAATTTCTGCACAACCAGGGTTCGTCGTCGTTACTTAGTTTGACGTATTCACTTGCTGAGATAGTAGCACATTTGATATGCCACCATAAGTAGCATGCCTCGCAGTACACTGCACGGGGGTTTGAAGCTACAGGCCTGTAGCAGCCTCCACAGGGAAATTTAATGGGCCCTGGGTTAAGGGCAATGTCTCCAGAAAGCTGAATTA